TATACCATAAAATTAGTAATTTGTTGCTAATACTGATATCATACATTCATTGAAATTATGTGTTTCCTTATGTCTAGGACTGTGCCAGATTCCAAGAAAAAACTGCAGACTAAAGCAGAACGGATTCCTGTGCATTCTTCGAAAAGTTCTAGAACTAAGCAAAAGGACAATATAAGCAGCATCTCCTCAATACAAGCTAAGTCATCCAACTTGACTCACAATTCAAAGATAGGTGTTCAGCCCTTAGAAGTTCAAGATTGTGACTTACCATCCTGGAATTTCTCACTGGACTTAACAAGCTCTATATATCCTGATATCAATAAGAAATCACCCATTAATGTGAACCAGTGTTGCAAAGCAAGTAAGGATCAGACTTCAGACTTAAGCCTGGACAGATATAATGATGGGCTATGTCACGTTCAGTGGCTGTGTGACATTGGAGGACTTGAAGAATTGAGCTTGACAGAGACTTTGTTTAACAACTTAGCAGATGTCAGCAGCTTAACTCCAGAAATGAACAAACAAAATGCTGCAGTGTCAAGAAATGGACATTTCCATTCCATTGACATATACCCTGATATGATGATGCTAGGACATTCCACAGCAGGCTCTGGATATAACTATTTGAACACTATAAAGAATGGGAAATTAGCTGCCAAGATTGATGAATTTAATAGGATTGTATTTAAGACTGACAAGGGAAATTCAGTTTTTGATGAATCTTTAGATGTTGCCCTGGCTGTGGAAGAAAAGCCATCAAGTGTCTCGAAGAGTGAATGTCCAACCATTGAGAAAGCCATTATCCAACCAGTAAAAGTACCTGATACCAGTGAACAGGTTTGTTTAAACAACAGTCTTCATAAGCCTGTTAAGACTGTGAAAGCCAGTACTCCACTGAGTCAGACAACTGGTCCTCAAAGTAAAAGTAGCTACCAAAATGTCTTACAAGAACACAACTGGAAAAGAATCAACTTGTCAGGAAGGCCTCGGTCAGCCGATTCTAGATCTAACTATGGGGTTGTTGAAAAGCTTTTAAAAAGCTATGAGACCAAAACTGCTGCTTCCTTGTGTAGTTCTAAGCAGTCACAGAGCACATGGACACAGTCCGACTTCCTGTTGACTGAAAATAATTCTGCAACTTTGAGCCAATGCTTAGAAATGCTTCATCTTGAACATACAGCAAAGGTTTTACAGAACGACATCCATTGGCAGCCCAGACAGGTTACAGTGAGCCTCCAGCTACCCGAGGTAAAAAATATAACACGCATGCCTATGTTTATTGTTGTGTAATGCGTGTGACATAACCTCTAAGATACTCAGGGCACAAGGTTTTATGTCAGAACAAATACATTTCCATCCCACACCAATAAATACCAGAGCTATTTTTAATCGAAAGCAATTCTAAACCTAAATATTTCACAGTTAAAATCATCACGAGTTTACGCTGGTTTAAAGTTAGAATATGACTTCAGTTCTCAAATGTTTGCTTCACAATTCCAATGTATTTCAATATAATCACATATCCTACATTTATTTGTATGAAACATGTTATAAGCCAAGGCCTGCAACATATCTGCTTCTATATCTAAAGTGTATGTCCAACCAAAACACTTTTTTAAGGGTCAAATCCCCATGCTGGGTTTTCCTTTACTTTCTTTTCCAGTGACAATGTTTTACAAACAAGAAGTGAGGGAAAATATTAATCTGCAACAAAGCAATAAAAAGCTTATGGGGGTTCTAGCCATCCCCTACTTTAGTTAAAAAAGCACTTTTATTTTTGTCTGTGTTGCTGTTGGAGATCTACCTTGACTTGAACTGTTGTCATCGGGATAGGAGAAAAAAAGGGCTGGACATATGCTTTAAAACATAACAAGTTGGCAATAGTAGTCCCATATTTCTATCCCGACAATTTTCCTTTAAAGGGGATTTTCTTTTGAAATCTGAATTTTTTTTTAACCTTTCTATGTATTAGCACAGAAGAATCCCCACCTCCTACTACCCCTGGCTTTCACCTAATCTCTTAGCTGTACTTACCAAAATTCACTCACAGGGCTTTCTCCTGGGAAACAATGGCAATGAGCTGCAACTATAAAAGTCTGTTTTTTTATTTCCTGCGAAGTTAAAAAAATGTGTTGGGGGTTCAGTGATTCTGGGTACATTTGTTTTAAGGAATTATTTTTTATTTTCTGTCGCTACGATCTTATTGCTATCACAGGCAAAGCTGCCCTTTGTATGCAGCATGTTACTGTATACTTGTGTAGTAAGGTAGTGTGCACCAAAGCACTCCATGTTTATTCCCCCTATTGTCATAGCGGCCATTAAATTTAATACAAATGTCAGACAGGCCTAAAGGGAGAGGTAGCGGTTATGCATGTGGATGTAGTGGGGAGCAAGCAGATTCTGCAGGACAAAGAGGTAGACCATCTAAAGGAGGGCACATCTGAGTTTTCTGTCACAGATTGGTCGTGCTATACACCCACAGTACACACATAATGAAGTTGAGTGGCTGGCAAAGCCTCCTTCTTCTTTCGGGTGCAGAAAAGCCAGTTGTTTGTGAGTGCTACTAATGCACCCTCTTCTACTAATCCTGCTATAGCCTCACAAACTGGCTATAAGACGTCAGCGCAATTATTTAATCTAACAGTCGCTGCAGGAGAATGATCTGGATCATCTGCAAGCATTCCTCCTTTCAGATATTGAGGAAGAGGAAGATAGCTCCATGACCATAGAGGGAGAGGAGGGTTCAGCCACACACCAGTAAGGGGACATCAGGCAGGGAGCAGCAAGAGGCAGTGATGTTCCAGCAGCCTGAGCTTACTGTGAAGGATACTCCACTTCATATGGAGAAGAAGGTCAGTGTGCCATTCTAGGGAGGGTAAAAAAAAAGCTTGAACCTTTGCAGAAAATTCTCCTGCACCCACTTCACCATCTCCATCAGGATCGTTCCCAGAGCAGATGTCTCTTCCGCAGCTGCAGGTGCTAAAAGAAAAAATTTCCCCAAATCACCCCAATGCCCACTGTCTTAATGCCACCTTGGCAAAACTGCTGACTATGCAGCTGTTTCCATTCCAGCATGTGCAATCAGCCCCCTTTTACAAGTATATGGCCTTTGCTACACCACAGTGGCAGGTACCCAGCCGCCATAGTTTTGGCCAGAAGGATATCCATGCCCTCCACCAGCATGTCGAATGTATGGCACCACATATTGCTGTAAGAAATTTGTAGTGAATGGGATCTTTAAATGCCTGTTCAAGGATCCCAAGAGAGGGACCACTATTTGGTGGCCACACCATTAGATCCCCAATGCAAAGGTAAAATGTCCAATCTACATTGGGCCCAGGGCTGATTCAGATACTCTGAGAAGTAAGGATCTCATGGTCTATTGTGTCAAGGCTGGACCACTGGCTGGAGCTTGTGCGCTATGTGATGAAGTGTCTGAGAGGGCCTTCAGCATAGCAGCAGATTTTGTTTCAGAGATGCAAATTCACCTGTCCCCTGATAGTGTGGACCAGCTCACTTTCATTAAAATGAACCAGTCATGGATTGCATGAATCCTGCTGCTGATGGTACAGACTTTTAAATGTTAGCTGGTCCCAAACAAAAACATTAATACCTGCCACCATTACCAGCTCCCTCCACCACAGCTGGCCTATTCTGGTGCTCCAGCACTGTAAAAGTGCCATACAATATTTTTGCAGCTGGAAATTGGCTGCAGGGTTAAAATTGCATCCTATTCAGGTTCTGAGAACCTGTAAAGATGCAACACAATGTTTCCACATTACTTATCATGTATTAGCAATGTTGTCCAACAGGATTCACCCTAGATCTTCCCACTTCCTGTTTATTTGACAGCTGTCGGACAGAACAGGAAGTTAGTAGAATCCCCCTATAGGTTGTATCCTCAGGTATTTTAGAAATGTATTGTTGTCTGTATCCTCATGAGAGATATTTTTCCCTCCTCACACTATGTCCAGATGAAGGATGTGAGAACAGGAAGAGGAGAGAAAAAGACAATCTCCTTTAGGGGTACACAGATCTTCAAACCCTTCATTGCTTTATCCAAAAAGTAAAAACAAATTTAAAAAAATATCCGTCTAAAGATTTGAGCTTATGCAAGTATATTTTGTTCCGTGATCATATGCAGAACTATTGAATATTGGATATTTTGTTGTATAGAGTAAAATATTGGTATATTGCTATGGGTAGAAGTGGCTGTTGATGTTGCTCAGTATGGAAGCAGCAAAAAGGCAACTACCATTAGACTGTCATTTACAATGTATAGGGCTTATCTTTGCCTTGAACATTGTTAGTCAATACAGCAATACGCAGTCATAATATTAATATCAGCCAAATTCCAGGAGCCATATATACAGGTAACATGAGGAAAACGATAAAGAACACCCTGTACATAGTTTGTACATAGATTGAAGATAGCTGATCTGTAGTGATAAGCAATAAGCCAAGAAGCTTAAACATTATCTAATGTCTAAAATATATGTAGGACTAAATACCACGAACAGATACATTATAGGGGATTTGTCAAATAAAACACTTTTACAACTATCACTTTGCTAATTAAATGATTGGTTCTGTTGTGTTGTACAGTTTCTGTTTGAATGGTTTATAATAATACTGAATTCTCTCTGTTTGGAACCATTTTAAATATTTAGCTGCAGTATTCAGGTACAAAACATCTTTTTACTCAACTGATATGCAACTTTGCGCTGTATAGATAGTCAATTCAGCAGAAGGTGCCAAATTGCTTTAGTTTAAATATAAATTTGTAAATCTTCCAGCAACATTAAAAAAGCAAATTTGATGTAGGTTATATTAACCTTTTTTTTTTTTTTTTTTTTAAAGAAAAGTCCTGCTGTACTGCCTGCAGCCTTTTACGTCTGAGGGCATGCCCAAAAAAACAGGCCATGTTGCTGAATATAGGTATTATCTGTAGTAAATGTAACACTAAATCAGAAGTATAACTACATGAAGTCTGTGTAATAGGGCAGAAGGTTTCTCATTCAAAGCTATCAAGAGGACACAGCACAACTATACACTGATGAGCACCAAATAAAGAGATACATTCAAAGAATGTATCAGTGTAAGGACTTTGCTTTAGGGGCTGGAATCATCCCTGGCTTAGCGTAGTCACCTTTGAGCTTAGCCAATCTAGGGCTTGGGAGTGGCAAATATTGTTGCAAAATAAAGAGAAGCAGTTTGTTTTGGTGTTCGACAAAGACAAGCATTATTTGAATCACTTACTTTGTATAAAGTTATATCTTGTGGGTATATCTAATTTATTCTCCTCAATTGACTTAATATTGCTGTTTATTTTGCTGTATTGCTCCTACCTAGATATCCCTAGCAACATCATCAGATGAAAAAGGATTTTCCCGCCCTGCACGGCCTGCAAATCAGCGTCCACCTTCAAGATGGGCTTCTGCAAAATCCCCGACCATCCTTTCTGCTGTGAGGAGAGCAACACACTGACGTCTGCTGCAGAGGAATTTCAAATCTGGATGAAAAGTCATGAATCTGGTTCTGAATCATGTAGTGACTTCCATTTTTTTTACAGCTGATTCTCAAAAGTACTAAAAGAAAACTGGGAGAGAGATGGGAGTGAAGATCTGACCTGTGATATAATCATCACAAAATGGCACTTTGCTTGAAATGGACTATTGTGGAGACAAGGAAAGGCAGCTAATGGTGTTGCAGAACATGCAGCTTTTCATCAAAGAAGCTTTTAAGATATATTGCATACAAACTTTGTTCCCTGCACATTTGTTAAAGGAACAGTTACACAAAGGGCATGGCTTTTGGTAATGCTAGAGTGCACTACTGTACAGTAACCCTTACCTTCATTAACCTATATCATATGAGAGTAGTCAGAACAATGATATTACATTTCTAGGTGAAAAATACATACTTTAAAGGGGAAACTATAATGTATTTTCAGAAAGTATAGTAATTTAAGTTTTTAATGCATCGTTTACCTGAAAGAGAAACTATCACTTTACCCATTCAGGCAAGTGCCAGTGCCTCATTGTAGCTCACCCTCCCTCAGCAAGGTATGCTAACCTATGTGTGCTCTTTTTGCTGGCTCCCTGCTTCGTTGCTTTAACAGTGTAGGGTTGCTGGTTATGTGGAAAAATGTGAGCTCCCCCATGGGACAGTAGTGATCCAAGCCCAAGAACTGTGACTTTGGGGGTGGCAGTGACATAAATCACCTGGATAAGCTCTGGCACCATCTGACATCAGAACTGGCCCAGGGTTGGCAGTGGGGAGGCAGTGATAGATTGGTGAGTACAGCTTGCTGGGATTGTGGGCTTCCAGAAGACACTGACACTTTGATATGAATAGACAAAATTACTTTGAAGGTGACATTGACTTTCCCGTTTTTTTTTATTTCTTTTTTTTGTTTGATTTTGTATTATTGATTAGAAGTGATCTTCTATAAATCAGTAAATGCCATAAACAAGCCTTCATAAAACTGCTAAAATGGCCTTACAGCGGGTATCTAGTTTTTAGTCAGGTCATACAGGACCCATAGACTTGCATTCAAAGAAGGGAACTGCATAGTCATTGTGTAACACTGCTTACTGTAAACCAGATATTGATTTACTAATGAGCAGAAAGGCATCATCCCCCGCATTACTGTGTATGTTCAAACTGAACACAGAAAAATGGTTTCTAAAACATAACTCTCATTGATAAAATTATAAACATTAAACTAACTATATATATATATATATATATATAGAGAGAGAGAGAGAGAGAGAGAGATAGATCTTGTCTTATAAGACTATAGTTTCCCTTTAAAGGTGATTTGTACTAATACCTGTATCTCCCAGTTATTGTGGGTCCCCACTGTCGCACTGTGTGCTAACATGCATTATGCCATGTGTTAGCGTGCATTGCGTTAAGCCAGATCATTTATTTGAATGAGCTACCTAACGCGCCAAAATAAAATATCTGTTAAATACTGGATAACAATATAAGTCATTATTAATAATGATGGTTAGAGTTTAAACATGATTTTGTGCAAACTAATATGTTCCTTTAACACTTGTGCTCATGGGTAGCCATATTAATGAACAAACTTAGAATATCAACACTATCAAGTCTTCAGTGTTTTACAACTAGCAAAACTATATTTCTGTATTTTTAATATTACATAGTATTTTTCATTTTGTATCATTGGTCCTTTTTTGGGGGGTAAAACTAAGTAGATATTTGTACAGTTCCATTTTGTTAAATATTTTCAGCATTTGAACAGTTGTAAATGTCATATGCATGTCACTTAATCATCTTGCATGTTTCAGATGATGCCACGTACTGAGTTCAGACATTGCAGGAGCAATGTTTACATATAAACTACAGAACATACACTTCTTATTTAATCTTTATTTGTAAAATAAATAACAATATATCGACTATACTTGCTACTTTTTCTATTAGCCAGCAATTATGATTTTTATTGTGTACATCTGAAGAAAGATTTCACATATGGTGGCCCCAGTCCAAAGGCATGTTTCTCAGTTAATATATACTCTGTTGTTTTTTTGGTTATTTTCATGGAAGTTTGTTTAATTCTGATGTTGAATTAATCAGGGTTCTCACCTAGCCCTAAGAATCTCTCCTGCTTTTATTTCAATGATCCTGTAGGAGATTTAGCAGAAGATTTTTTGGGGGTAAGCTAGTGGATCTTATCTAGCAACTTAAGTATAACAATCTGGTAAACGAACACATATTTCATCTTGAATATTACTGTGTTCTGCCAGAACACAAGATTTTGCTAAGTGGCTTATTTTATAATATGGCTTTTTATCTTGTAGAGCCATTCCAAAAAAAGTGTATTATTCTCATTGCATAGGACCATTCAGTGTTACTTGCCAAATTGTAGTGTCACAGTAGTCCTAGTTCTGTTGCGTGGATCCATTTTGCCTGTGAAATTGAAGAAGTCATGAATACAGGATGTTTGATGTTCAGTTTCCTTTGGAGTGTTTGTAAATTGTAGATGAGAGCAAGGACTCGCACTTATGTTATTACCATCAATACACTGTTAGCATGCTCTTAGTCGCTTTTAGTCAATGAGTAAACTTTGTTGACTGATATATTAGAACTACAGTACACTTATAAATTTAGCCTGGATTTTGGCAACAGCTTGTGTACACAAATATTGCATCAGTAGCTACAAGATATATGACAACTGTGGAGCCAGCGATCTTACACTATGCACCTACAAATATGTTTTCTTCATCTCCAGTTAGTGGTAATAAATTATATACATGCTGTGATTAAATGAACGTCTTGTTGATGCTCCGTTGGAGTATCTTTCCTAGGCCAATGAAGAATTGTTTATTATTTTTTATCTTATGTAGCAAGTGTAAAGAAAAATAATTAGTTGCATTACAACAAAGAACTCAAATTAAAAAAACAAAACATGATTTTGCTTAATAATGAGGAGTTCATAGTTAACTAAATGCAACTACCCAACATTGTTTTCTACTTTCTTTGTAATGAATCTGTGGCTTTTATTTGCACCCCTTACCTCACAAACCTGCAGTCTTAAGGGTTATTTTATAAGCAAAAGAGCTCTACATAGTGTACCTAAACAGAAAAACAAAAAATGTATAATTTGCAGCTTACCAGTCTTTAACCCCTTCATGACTGAGGCCTTTTTTTCATTTTTTTTTTGCACCCATGTTATATTCCACATTTTGGCCTGAAAATTACTTAAAACCCCCAAACATTATATATTTTCTGAAAACCAAGACCCTAAGGAATAAAATGGTGGCAGTTGAACATTTTTATGTTGCAACATATTAGCGCAACTTCTTATCAAACCCCAAAATGTACTTAAGTGCCCTAAAAAACACAATAAAATACAATTTTTAAAAAATAAAAAAGATGAGGTTACAATGAGTAAATAGATACCCTCCATGCCCAGGTTACAAATTGTGTGCATCCGTGAAGCGGCGACAAATGTCAGTACCCCAAAAAGTCCATAGACAATGCTTTAAAAGCCCCCACTGGTCATCAGTTTAGAAATAGCCAAAAATATTGGCCCTAGAATTATTGCTCTCACTCCAACGTGCGTGGCATAACCCAACATGTGTAGTGCGTTCGTCGTTTTCATACGTAGGCGCACCTGACGCGTGTTTATGTGGCGATGCGCTTTAAACATTTTTTTAAAATAATTTTTAGATTTATTTTATGTAATGTTAATTATAAAAATTGTTTTTTTTTAAACTTTACTTTAATTGCTATCACATAGGGGGGCTTACAAGCCTCCCATGTGATAGCAGATGGTGGTGACAGGTACTCTTTAAGGTGATGCTGGGGGTCCAAAAGACCCCTAGTTTTACCTTTACACTCCAAATAAGCTATTGAAGTGCAGATCGCACTTCAATAGCTTACAGCTGGCTTCAGGAGCACAGCATTGACAGCTATGGGACCGGAAGTGATGCAATCTGCATCGCTCCCGGTCCCATAGAATGGGGAGGGGATCGACAAATGGAGGTTCGTCCATCTCCTCCCCAGCTCCCCGCCGACACAAGAGAAGCCAGTCTCGGGCCCGTAGGAGGGGCAATGGAGCCCGGGAAGCATGGCGGGAGGGCTGCAGAAGAGATCTGGCGACAGCTGAGTCGCCAGAATCACTTCTATTGTAAAGCCGACAGTCGGCTTTACAAGTTTAAACAGAGTCCGCCTGTTTAAACAGCCCCGATGCTAGCGACGTACACTGTACGTCGTCAGTTGTGAAGGGGTTAAAAAAGGTTCCTGCATTATTTTTCTTTTCCGGGCTGGTTTTCCTTTATTTTCTTCTAGTAGTCCTGCAAATACCATAGCTTCTGGTTTAGGAAGGCTAATGCAGGCACCATACCAAAGAATTGGTAAGCTGCAATATATTATTTTTGTTGTGGTTTTTTTTTTTTGGGGGGGGGGGGGGAGTTATCCTTTAAATGTAGTACCCCATAGCAGCATGTAAATTAATTTCTCACTGATGTGACTTTGTAAAATGATATCTGGTTGGCTGCTATGGATTACTGTGCATCACATATGATCATGTTTGCCCGGTATTTTTGAATATGCCCTTATATTTCTGTGCCCATCCCTCCATAATGCTAATTGACAGCATCATATGCAGGATTAGAGCAGAGAAATGTCATACTGTTTATTTGAAGCTGAAGTTTTTTTCCTAGTTCAGACACTGTCACCTAAACTCTACTAAAGGGGAGGAATGGCCATACACAAGAGCGGAGGCAAAAGACACCACAAACAATAATGCTGTCAACATTAAGGGTTATATAAGGATTGCACTGGAGTTGTGTCACAAATAGTGTTTAGTGAGTTAGTCTTTAAGTCATATTTACATTTACTAACTGTCAATATCAGTTGCAAAAGAGTTTTGGACAAAAGCCACAAACATTTACTTTGGGTCCCCTGTAAGACTTATATATATCGTCTCACACTGCATATACAACTTTATAAGTAAAAGTGCATAAAGACCCGAGGGGCAGTTTACATGTGTGGATGAATCTATTTTGTATAAAGA